AAAAAAAAAAAAGAGATTTTCATTATTCAGAATAAGCCCAAGACAAAGAAAACGCTCTCCAGCATTAAGGAACAGGAAAAGGCTGTGAACATGCTATTGAGATTTATGACGGGGCTAATTATCTGAGGCACACACAAATATGCTGTCTCCCATCATAATTCAACACAATAGCAGGAATTACGCCTCGTCTTGTTAATTCTTCCCGTTACTCAGACGAAGACAAACCCCTCTCCCTCGATGGCCTTTGCACCCACCCGGGCTGGCCGGCAGCCCTGCGCAGGAGGGACAGGCAGCCTAAATCACGCCGGCAGCCAAGCCCTGCGCCTCCAGCTACCACACACCCGTGTCAGCAAGAAGCCCAAAAGCCAACTCAGGTTTGGAGTCAGGTCCTTTACACCAGCAAATTCAACTGCTTTTGGCCTAAAAGCAGCAAAATGCCAGCTTTATACAGCCGACTCTTCACTTTATCACTCAACCCAGGGGGAAAGAAAAAAAAAAAAATCGTAATTCTTGACTTTGAGGGTAGAAAAAGCTCTGCAAGGCTTGTGCACGAAGGTAACAACAGCAACGCAAGAGGGACGAGCAGGTCTGGCGCTGCCCATTATATCTCTATATCTAGATATATCTCAGTGCATAAGTCATCAGCCCAGAGCTTTTTCTACCCTCTTGTTCAGGGATTATTTTTTTTTTCCCCTGGGTTGAGTGATATATAGGTATACAGATATATAGACAATGCTGCCCATTTTTACGTATATATAAAAAATAAAATGCTGCCCATTTTACACTGAAAATGAGCAGAGCTGGGTGCCCCGGACAGTGCTGCCCCACGGTGAGACGAAGCGCCTCAGCTGGGAGGGAGCATTGCCCACACCCACTCCCGACACACGTCAGTCGTACAGAAGCACAAACACATAATCTGCTGTTTTATGACCCCTGCGCCTCACGTCTAGTCCTCCTGGGAAAGGAAAAACCCATATACTACCTGCTCCCATCTAGGTATTTAATGCTGATAAATCCCAGTATTTACAGCTGCTGTACTGGTGAGAAGAGTTTTCAGCCGGTCTGAACTTGATTTGCACCAGTTTTACGTGGTGGCACGACATTTACGTCCTAACGTTCTCACCCAAGATTTATGAGAAAGCGCTCATGCTCCTATTGACATTTTCAAGTCTAGTATATTTAATCTCAGCATTCAATAAAGTGGCCCCATAAACATGTTTATATCCCTTGGCAATAATATCCCAGGGCACAAGAACACACCAGGCAGCAGAGGACTTAATGGCGCGTAATAATCTTTGGAGAACAAATGTTCCATTAAAAACGAATTTGGAAATGTCTACCTTAATACTTTAAGAACCTTAAACTCATTTTCTTCCAACTATTAAATGAATTTAAGCCCCATACGTTTGCCACATCCACTACAATATTGTGCAAACAAAACCCTAAGGAGATATGGAAGAGACACAGACGTGAGCGCAGATTTGGCTCCAGTCAGTTAGAAAACCATTGCTCCCTCTGTTCTTGAAAAATAAGATTAAAACCATTACATGACAAGTTGTGGCTGCATGCTGCCAAGTATTACTGCTCAAGCCATTTACAGTAACTTAATTCACTTGTTCAAAACTAAAATAAAATGTTAATGCTCCTAATAAGCTTACAGTCCTACAATTTCCATTTTTCCAGAAGCCCTACTACTTACTCTACAGAGCACTAATAGTGCCGGAGCATCCCACTGGGATGGGCAGGTGCCTACCAGGTCGCATGGAGCAAAAAAAACCCAGCTCCACCTCGGGTCTTGGGTCCTACCTGTCCACTGAACCACGTGGACCTTCTTCCATCACGCCCATCTGCACGCTGAGGCTGGAGATGACGCTTAAAGCCCTCCAGACCCCAGCAATCCCGAGTGAAATGGCCGAGCCAAGTGAGGACGGTGCTTCAACCCACCCATTTCACGCTTCCCACGCGAGGCTGGCCACAGCCACTTCGGCGCGATGCTAAAGCTGCTCTCGGCTTGCAAATACTGGAGAACCACCCGAATCCCCTTCCGTTTTTAACATGAGCCATAGGAGAGCTGTCACCACCCTGCTGCTAATGCAGGTGGCATCACCACCCTCTGCATCACCATCAGGGAGTGTCATCATTCATCACCCAGCTTTGGTCGCCTCAAGATGCTGGAATTAAAGAGAAGCCCTTGCTGTGAAATCCCCACAGCTGTGTCCAGCAGAGCTGCACATGCTGTGGCCATGCTGTGCAGGCAATGGCAGCATTTGAAGGATCCAGGACATTCATGAGTGTCTTGGGTACCAGGACAGGTGGCATTTCAACTGCGATTTTCTAAACATTGCAATTGTCTAAGTGTTGTGATGGGCTACTCCACGCAACCACCTAATATTTTAAGGAGGTGATAACCACAGAGCAATGAAGAAATCCCCTTCAAGCCAGGACACAGTCAACATGTTGTGCACAGGCAAATGCGAAGCCCAAGGGTGGATGTACACACATGGGAACACAGGCACAACCAGGCATGTCTACAGCCAGAGCAGAGACAAATGGAGACAAGTCTGGAGACAGACAGACACCTGCAGAGCAGCACAAGCAGACAGCACTGGTGAATACACGTCCAGCTCATCTATGAAGACGCTGAGCTGAAGGGAGGACCTTTCTGGAGAGGCAGAGCAGGTCTACAGACAGGTCTCTTGCCTCCAAGCACACTGCTCACCTCCACCCCAGTCTACCACATACCCACCATTTCAACCTATTTCAGTGACTTCATTTGTTTATTTTGAACCTGGTTCAAGATTTTTCCCACCCATTTCCAGCTCCTTCGGATGTCTGCTGCCTCACTGGGGTACACAGTTTAGCGTAGACAGAGCAGTCACTCCTTCCATTCCTGAACATCACCAAGGTGGTCATCACACAAGCGCATGGGACTCGGCTGAGCTTTAACAACCCTCCTAAGCTTGTTCTGGACAAGCCTGACTCACCTCCTGTAGCCCTGCTACTCACAGGCTGGACACAAACCCAGTTCCTCAGTGATCACTGTTTGACCTCAGGCAGGGCAAGCAGCCAGTGCGGCGTGGGG